CTCTTTCTGGGTGACTCTGATTTGTGTCAAGTTGACAAAAACAAAACAGCACATCATTTCATATTCATCCATCCATTCATTCATTCATTCATTCATTCATTCATTCATTTATTGTGGAACTGGGGATTGACTCTGGGGTCTTGAACATGCTAAGCAAGTGTCTTTCCCACCAGGCTGTATCTATTCTCAGTCCCTTTTTTACCTTTTACTTTGAGACAGGGTCTCACTGAGTTATTCAGGCGGGAGTTGAACTCCCTCTGTAGCCCAGACTCGTCGATTCTTCCTTCCCTTTTTATTTGTTTATTTTTCAATTTATTCTGTGTCTTTTACATCATGTCTCTTTTTTTTTTAAAGTCAGGTTTTCTCTGTTATGTAACTCTGGCTGTCCTGAACTCGCTCTGTAGACCAGGCTGGTCTCAAACACACAGAGATCCATCTGTCTCTGCCTCCCTAGTACTGGTATCAAAGGTGTGTGCCACCACATCCTGCCCCAGCCGGTGCTTCAGAATGAGACCCCTGCCTTAAGACAAACCAGAACAGGGCTGGAGAAACAGCTCAGTCTCTGAGGTGCTGGCCACCCAGGCTGAGGGACTGAACTTGACCCCCAGAACCCAGGTAAAAACACCAGGCACAGTGGTGCATATTTTTATTACTAGTGCTGGGGAGACAGAGCCAGGTAGAATCCTGGGCTCACTGGCCTGCCAACATAGCCTCATTGGTGAGCACCAGGCCAGTGAGAGAGCCGGTTTCAGATGAGTGGACAGTACCTGAAGAATGAATCCCAAGGTTGTTCTCTGGACTCTAAAAGCACACATTTGTGCACATGCACAAAGAAAATTAAAGCCACACCAAACTAGGACCAAGCATCCCTTTAGAATCTTAGCTCTCTTACTCAATACCTATTCCATAAAACCCCCTCGACTGAATTTCCTTTTTTGGAGACAGTCTTGTTACTTTGCCCAGGCTCTTATTTATTTATTTATTTAAAATAATAAATAAATTAAAAAAAATGTTTTTGAGAGGGTTTCTCTGCATAGCCTTGGCTGTCCTAGAACTCACTCTGTAGACGAGGCTGGCCTTGAACCCAGAGATCCACCTGCCTCTGCCTCTTGATTAAAGGTGTGAGCTACCATGCCTGGCCTTCAAGCTAATCTTTAAAAAATATATATTAAATTCTGTGTGTGTGTGTATGTGTGTGTGTGTGTGTATATGTGTATATGTGTGTATGTGTGTGTCTGTATATGTGTATATGTGTGTATGTGTGTGTGTGTTTATGTGTGTGTGTATATGTGTATATGTGTGTGTGTGTATATGTGTGTATGTGTGTGTGTGTGTGTATATGTGTATATGTGTGTGTATGTGTGTGTATGTGTGTGTATGTGTGTGTATATGTGTATATGTGTGTGTATGTGTGTGTGTATGTGTGTGTATGTGTATATGTGTATATGTGTGTATGTGTGTGTGTATGTGTGTATGTGTGTGTATGTGTGTGTGTGTATATGTGTATATGTGTGTATGTGTGTATGTGTGTGTGTATATGTGTGTATGTGTGTGTGTATGTGTGTGTGTGTATATGTGTGTATGTGTGTGTATATGTGTATATGTGTGTATGTGTGTGTGTGTATATGTGTGTATGTGTGTGTGTATATGTGTATATGTGTGTATGTGTGTGTGTGTGTATATGTGTGTATGTGTGTGTGTGTATGTGTGTGTGTATGTGTGTGTGTGTGTGTGTGTGTGTATATGTGTATATGTATGTGTGTGTGTGTGCGTGCGTGCGCGTGCGCCATGATGCAGGTGGGGATCAGAGAACAACTTGCAGGAGTGGTTCTCTTTCACTTCGTGGGTGCTGGGTATTGAACTCCGGTAGTCAGGCTTGGTGTCAAGTGTGTTTACCCAGAGCCATACTGCAGTCTCTCTACCCCCGCCTTTTAAAATGTTTCAAGACAAAGTGTCACTATGTGGCTCTGTCTGGCCTGGAACTCACTATGCAGCCCAGGCTGGCCTCAAACTCATGCAGATCTGCCTGACTCTGCCTCCTGAGTGCTAGGATTAAAAGCATGTGCCACCATATCTGTGCCACCTTTAAAAAGAATTGGGGCTAGAGAGTTGGCTCAGCGGCTAAGAGCACTTGCTGCTCTTGCAGAGGACCCGGGTTCGGTTCCTGGCACTGGTCTCAGGCAGCACACACAGCCTGTCTTTCCAGCACTAGGGGATCTGATGCCTCCAGCCTTCGGACATATACACCTACACATAATTAAAAATAAATCTCAACATTATCTTCTTATTAATTATTGTGTGTGTGATATGAGCACAGGCAGGAGCGTTGTCTTATTACTCTGTGTGTGGTACGAGCGTGGGCATGAGAGTGCCATGGAGTCCAGTGGAGATCAGAGGATTGCTTGCAGGAGAAAATTCTCTTCCTCCATGTTTTTTTCTTTTTAATTTAATTTTTTTGAGTCAGGGTCTCACTATGTAGCCCTGGTTAGCCTGGAACTCACGATGTAGATCCACTTGCCTCTGCTTCCCAAGTGCCAGGATTGAAGGTGTGCCATCATGCCTGGCTCTTCTCCCACTTTGGGGTCCCAGGATCAAATGCAGGTCATCAGATTTGTGGGAATGTCACTTTTACCTGCTGAACCACCTCACTGCCCTTTTCTTTTCCCCCCAATGTTGGTAATCAAATCCAGACCTATGCTGTCTCCATCAGTCGCAAGCCTTTGACTCTTCACAGCTAGGTACTTAGTATACAGAACTGGACTAGCATGGGGCGCTGGCATGAGACCCAGTCCCTGCCCTGAGGATTTCCAAACATCGGAGGGCAAACACAGGACAAGGACGGGCTCACCTGCATGCAACAGAGCACCCGTAACTTGAGTGAGGGCCACCGTGAGCTCAGCTGGATAGTTTGTGGAAGTTTTTTTGAAACAAATGCTGCATGGGGTAAAGGTGCTTTGTGGAGGCAAAGCCGCACCTGAGGCCTGGACAACTGTTTCTGGGCAACTGCCTGTGCCAAGTGCGGAGTCGGGAAGACGTGACAAAGCATTATTTAGGGGAGGATGAAACCGAGAGCGGAGTTCCGGAGATAAGGAGCAGGTTTGAGGAGCAAGTGGTTAGCACGCCCCCTAGCGGCTTCTGTGAGATTCCATCTCCTCTAGCCACCGCAGCCTGGTTAATAAATAGGGAAGGTGTTTTGCCTGCCATCCACACTGATCTCTACCACTTCCTGACAGGCTGCTCATTTCAGACCAACACTCGCTAGGCACTCGCTGTGCTGATTACTCTCCTAGGAATTGGGATAGCCTTTGAGTCGTCCATCATCCTAACCCTGTCGGTGCTTTATAAAGAATCAAGGGGAGAACGTCTACTTTGAGTCTCAAAGAGTAGGTAAATAGGCTGGCAGAATAGGGGGTGAGGTGAGCGAATCCTGTGCCTGTGAAATGAAACAAAAGGCATGAACCCCACCCCGCCGTGTACTCAACCTCCGCTGAGTAACTACCATTAACTGAGGTCACAGAAGGAACATGACATGCTGGAGACAGAGCTGACTCAGACGCCACCTGTGACTCCAGGAGCTCACAGCCTAGCAAGGAGACAGGTACATAAACAAAAGAAGGGATGCCATGTGCTCAGGGTCCTGTTGGCAAACCCAGGGTGTGGAGCAGGGAGTGCCGGCCACCTGGGCCGGTGCTCGACGGTTCTAAGTTTAGCTGAGTGATAAAAAGGGGGAGGTACGAAAATGCAGAGGCACCAGAGGGAGCGCTCTCCTGGTGGGCAGGAGGGTGGAGATGTGCTCAGCTGGGGAAACTCACTTTCCTCCCCTCTTTGTGTACCAGTCCCCCACATCTCCTGGAACATGGGACCTTCGAGCCTCTCTACCAGGGTTCAGAATCACTCCTAACATGCCAGCCTTAGAATGGGTAACTCAAGCTTTGCGGTCAACCCCCTGGCTTGTGAATGCTATTTGTACGCACCAGAGCTGTGTACTGAGCCGACGGGTGTCACGAAAGGCATCCCAGCAGTGCCTCCCCTGACAATATCAAATGTGTAAGGACCGCCAGTGCTTGGCACACGGCTCACTGCAATCTATTGAAAGTTCGATACTTTTGGTACCTCCAAGTGGTTTGAGCCCTGGAGGGGGGTGAGTTGGAGAGGTCTATCTCACCTAGTGTAGGTACTAGGCAGGAGCTTGGGGCCTGGGGGAGGGGCTGCATTCCTGTGAAGAAGCCAAGGGCTCTCAGGTGGGCAGGGAGGTAACCGCCGGCCTGGGTCTGGTAACATCAAGTGACGGCCACGGTTCAAGCCCCAGTCAATCAGTTAAGCCTCACCCACCTGATAGGGGAGCCTGAATGATGGGCATCCAGGAGAAACACTGAGCAGCAACACCCATAGTCCCATGGCCCTCCGCTATGGTGGTCAAAGGTGACAATTTTCTCCACCCAGAGGAACCAGGGCAGTTTCAGGAGGTGGGAAAACCTGCCGAACAGGGTGGCCAAAGGCCGAACCGGTTGGACAGGACAGTTTAACCCCCCCCCCCCCCCAGCAACTCCACAAAACAGAGCTAAAGAGAGAGCTCAGTGGTACAGAACCTGCCTAGCACACATGGGTTTTATGTCTCGGCCATGGAAAATACTAAGGGGTGGGGAGGGGGGCAACGGGAGGGAGGAACCCAACTGCGGGGCAGTTACCCACCAACCCCACAGTTCCCGAGTTTTCTTGAGTGAGAGCAGCAGGAAATATTAGAAGGATTCAGAGTGTGGAGATAAACAGAAAATACAGGATAGCCTCAAGAGGGCCTGGAACCTATTCCAAGGACCCCGGCTGTCTCTGCCCCAGGGTATTTATAGAGACGCCAAGGGGCGGAGCAAAAGACCTCCTCCCCCAGCACAGCCAAGTGCAGACCATCTCAGACACCTGCACTCAGGCCTGTGGTCCAATCATCCTCTCTATGCGGACCTGCTGGGTAAAGCCAGTAGGAACCTGAAAATGGGCTCCCACACTCAACAAAAAACACACTTTATTTTTTAATTTAATGTCATTTTGTGGTGCTGTGGAGAGAACTCAGGGTTCGCGCGCTCTACCACTGAGCTATGACCCTGGTCCCCACAAAGCAATTATTTACAGCACAAACTACAAAGCGACATCCTCCAGTGTTGGACTGTGGAGAGTGGAAGGACAGCTGTGGAAGGCAGAGTTGCAGCCTCTAGCTTCTGATGCCACTCCGGGTCCTAGCATCATCGGATGGGGACGGGCAGCTTTGAACAGGACACAAAACACCAACTTCCTCCGGCTCCTGGGCAAGCAGGTCCTTCTATGTACAGTACTCCTGGCTCAAGGCTGCTCTGCTCCTCCCAGACTCTTGGGCCTTCTCCAGAACTGGCCTGAGTGCAGCTGAGACTCCTCCAAGAGGCTCAGAGATCTGGCTTCTGAGACAGAGTAAGTATGCCCAGGAAGCAGGCAGGAAGTGTCTGGTCCCCAAGTTTTCCCAGGTTCTAGCCTCTGTCTTGGCAAGCAGGACCTGGTGAGTCGGGCAGGAGTCCCAGGCTCAGAGGGGCCGGGTTGTGTGGTTATAGACCAGGTGCTCGGTGTCCTCCGTGGTGGAGACAGTGGAGCTGGCTGGTGTGGGAGGTGGGTGGTGGCGGTGGTGACTGCGGAAGCCCTTTCTCTTACTCTTGAAGCAGAAATAGCCCAGGATGGCTATGACCACTATGATGCAGATGACCAGGAGTACAGCAATGGCCACCTCCACAGAGCCTGGGAGAAAACGGGCAGAATGAGGTGCTCCCAAGGCCTGTCTGGTTCTGACACCCACCACCCTCTTTAGGGAACAGAAAAAGACCATGGATGTCATGTGTAGAAGCAGATGGACACCCAAAGCAGACCTCCAGAACAGCTGTTTCCAGAAGCCCAGAGGGGCTCTAATGGCAGACAACTGGCAGGCAATTCACTGTACCGCCCTCCGTTACCTATGTCAGAGCTCACTACTCAATGGTGCGCACGGGGTAACCTCAGGATCCTTCTCAACATGACTGAGGCATTCATAAGCAGTCATACGCTGTTGGTTCCTGAGCTGACACCGGTGTACCCACGCTGGTGACAAGACAGACCAGGGCTTACCTCCACTGGGAATGGAGCTTTCCCTCCGCAGACCAAACACATCCTTCTCTGCAAAGTGACATGGAGAACCGGTCAGCACTAAGTCCTTAGACTCAGCTGTGTGAGTGCCACAGCTCCTCTGTCCCCCGCTCCCACTGCCATCGAAGTCACTTAGTAGAGAAGTGACTGACCCAGGCCTAGCTAAACCTTCCCCTTCACCCTGCCGCTGCCACTCTGCTCACTGGAGATGCCACGACATGACTCAAGACACTGTTGTTCCTCCTCGAAGTTGTTCTTGTTGCCATAGCAACCACCATAGGTGAAGCGGGCACAGTGTTCACTGAATGGGTTGTAATACCAGCGTGGGATGTTTTCTTTGCAGTGCCCAGTGTCCGGCAGTTCTGCACAGTACCCTGCAGTAGGGGGCATGCAAAGTGACAAGTGAGGCCACGGAGCGACCCATGCTGCCGCCACCCTTCAGGGCCCTATGTGACGCTAACTCACCACCCCCTCCCCAGGCTGAGGGCAGTGTGGCTTCACCAAAGGCCCATCTGTAGTACTATCAAAGGGAAGAAAGACAACTCTGGACTGCAATCCCAGGCACCAAGGGAACTAGTTAGACTCACATTTGTAAAGGCATACTCCATCACGTTATTTATTTCTTTACTTTTGTTCATATGCCATGGCACACCCAGGGAGATCAGAGGACAACTACTGGAGTTCGTTTTCTCCTTCCAGCATGTTGAGTCTCATGGATCAAACTCAGGTAATCAAGTTTAGTAGCAAGTGCCTTTATTCCCACTGAACCATCTTGCTGGCCCCATAGTTTTTTTTTTTTTTTTTTTTTGGTTTTTTTCGAGACAGGGTTTCTCTGTGTAGCTTTGCGCCTTTCCTGGGTCTCACTTGGTAGCCCAGGCTGGCCTCGAACTCACAGAGATCCGCCTGGCTCTGCCTCCCGAGTGCTGGGATTAAAGGCGTGCGCCACCACCGCCCGGCTGGTTTTTTTTTTAATTACATTTTATTATTTTGTGTGTGGGTGTTTTGTGTGCATGTATGGCTGTGCACCACATTCATGCAGTGCCCTGGATGCCAGGAGACGCTGGATTCCCCTGGAACTGGAGTTAGGGATGGTTGTGAGCCACCATATGGGTGCTGGGAACTGAACCTGGGTCTTCTGCATGAACAAGTGCTCTTAATCACTGCCCTATCTCTCCGGCCCGAGTTTTCTTCTTCAGTGTAACTTTTCTGTGTCAGGGTCTCTGATTCCTACCACTGAATGATTAAAATTTTTAACAAAAGGGGTGGGCTTTAGGCAAGAAAGAGTGAGTATCCAGCTTTAACCGTGATTCTCAAGCTGTGGATCCCGACTCCTGTTGGGGGGTGGTTTGAACAACCCTTTTGCAGGGGTTGCCTACGAGCGTCAGAAAGCACAGGTATTCACATTACAACTCAGCAATGTAACGAGTAGCGAGATTACAGTTATGAAGTAGCAATGAAATAGCTTCGAACACTCTATTTAGCAGAAGCTGACCTTGAACTTCTGATCCTCCTGGCAAAAGCCATCATTTCCAGACCATTAATATTTCTAGTACATGTTAATTTGCATAATGGGACGTTTTTGTTTCCTCCCCACACCGCTCCCCCAGCAGTGGTGGGACACACAGTTCCTTGCAATGGTAGGTGGGTGCTCTACTACTGAGCCCCACCTCAGTCCCCAGGGCCCTTATTTTGAATATTGTTCTCAACTTGTCAAGTCATGGTGGCTTCCCACGTATGACAGACGGCATTGTGAAATGTCCTGAACACAGAGAGGCTACAGTAATGGAAATAATCAGACAGGGAGTGCCTAGTGGTGTGTGGGAAATGAGCCACTAGAGAGCTTGACAGGCGAGCCGGGGAGGCCCTGGCTCTGACTGCGGCCTGTACACACACACAGCAAACTCCTGGGACACAGAGGACGGGGAGGCTCTCACCTTTGTCCCTGGGGAAGTGGATACTCTGAAGCTCATCAAAACCACTGGCGTCTGCAGAGATGAGAGGTCAGAGGTTGGGGCCCAACACGGGTATCCCACAGGCATAAAGGAGCGCCGCTAGGCTCTCCCCTCCTGCTCCCCACCGCTCCTCCTGGTCCCTGGCTCACATTTTTCACAGGTGGCCTCATCGGAGCCATCAGGGCAGTCGGGGGTGTCATCACATTCCAGGAAGCCATCGATACAGCAGCCATTGCTGCAGCGGAACTGGCTGGGGTGGCAGCGGCCAGAGCACACTGGATGGGGGTGAGGTGAAGTTCAGGCACAGAGTGGGTGCCAAGGGGCTCTCATCTACCTGGCCCCTTCTATCGTGAGCCCGTTCCTCACCAAGCCCAGCTCCTCCTGTATGTAAACTGGGCAGATCCTGAGGGGGGCTGCTGTGTTGGAAGGGGCAGGTGTTTTGTATACTATGGGGGTGATGGGAGCTGAGCAAAGGCGGGTTAGTCAGGGTATGGTCATCATATGGGCTGAAGGCAAGACACGGAAATAGGGAAAGAGAGGAAGGAAAACCCACCTGGATGGTGCCTTTTAGGTGAGATTCCTGGGGAAAAAAAAAACAAAAGGAATAATAGGAGGCATGGCCAGACTCTAACAATGATGGGGACACCCCAGCCCACTTCCTCAACCGGTAAAGCAACATCATCTGAGCCCCAAAGCTGCCTCTCAGAGACCCACCTTGCACATCCTTGCAGGCTAGCATGCATTCTTCTTCCCGAAGGTAATTGTTCTTATTGCCCAGGCAACCTCCGTACGTGAAACTCTTGCAGATCTGTTGCGCGGGGTCATAGTACCAGCGTGGGAAGGAACCCCGGCAGCGGCCCACCTTGTAGGATGCGAGGCAATAATCTAGATAGAGGAGAGCTTGTGAATTAGGGCTAAAGGGTCATTGGTGGACTGAGGGGCGCTCCAGGCACCTCGTGCCCATTCCCAGTCACCTTCTGTCTGCTTGGCGGTTAACACAGTGATGGTAAGATTAGCTGTGTCCTCTGGCTGGTTGGAGTCAGTTCTGGTCAGTTGGAACAGGTAGGTCCCTTCCTTAAGTCCCCACAGCTCCACTTCATCCGGGCTGTTTCTCTACACACAAGACTGGGCATCAAGCTTGGAGACTTCCTGATGTTCTTGGACTACCCCAGGTCCTCCCAGCCAGCCAGCCAGCCAGCCAGCCAAACACACACACACACACACACACACACACACACACACACACACACACACACACACACACACACACACACACCGGGAGAGCACAGGGACTTGGTATCCAATGAATCCTGATCTTTCCTCTAGCCAACACCAACCGAGCCAGTGGTTGGCCTACAGCCCAGGAAGGCATCCCAGGAGGCTGTGGGGAAGGTCAGGGATTCAGCCCGGGGTCTCACCTCTACTCTGACATCATTGTCACCCTGCAGCAGGTGCCAAGCTGTGTCGTCTGCATCTCTCAGTACCAGGGGTGTCTGCAGCTGTACCTTCAAGTCTATGCCCACCCAGGTTCGAGGGATCCGGGACCCTGAGAGAAAAGGAAGTAAAATCAACTGTCAGTGGGTAGACTCTCTTGGTAAACAAGAGAGGTATTGGCCACCCAGGACTCAGTAGCCCGCACAGGGCACGGGGGAGGGGAGGGGCTTGCAATAAAGCCAGTACCTTGCTCTCTATATAGTCACATTATGAGTAGTATGTTGTCTGAAGCAAATAACTGAATACTATATACTATCTGATCTCATTTAGGAAAAAAAAACCCTCTGTGTGTGTGTGTATGTGTACATGGAGGTGGTAAGTCTGGTCTTAGTTTCTACAGTAAGCAATTACTTCTGCTGACTACTTAAAAAAATTAAAGTAACAAATTCTTTTCTTTCTTTCTTTTTTTTTTTTTTGTTTTTTTTGTTTTTTTGAGACAGGGTTTCTCTGTATAGTTTTGGAGCCTGTCCTGGATCTCACTCTGTAGATCAGGCTGGCCTCAAACTCAGAGATCCACCTGGCTCTTCCTCCCGAGCACTGGGATTAAAGGCATGTGCCACCACCACCCAGCCAGTAACAAGTTCTTTAAAAGTCAAATAAGAGAACGTGGGATGAAAACGTCATCCTTCCTCTGGGGCTGCAGATGTAACTCCGTGGGAGGCTGCTTGCCTAGCAGTGACAAACACCTGGATTAGATTCCCTAGCACTGGGCTGGAGAGATGGCTCAGAGGTTAAGAGCACTAGCTGTTCTTCCAGAGGTCCTGAGTTCAATTCCCAGCACCCACATGGTGGCTCACAACCATCTATAATGGGATCTGATGCCCTCTTCTGGCATGCAGACAGAATACTGTATACATAATAAATCTTTTAAAAAAAATTCCCTAGTGCTAACTAAAACCCGGAGGTGGAGGCAGGAAGATTAGGAGGCTGTCCTGGGATACGTAGCAAATCTGAACCCAGCCTAGGATGCATACGAAAAACAAAAACAAATGGGTACCTGGGAATCAGGGCTGGTCCTGGGGAGACCGCTCAGTGGTTAAAAGCACTGGCTCTCAACCAACATGGTGGCTAGGACCACCCATAACTGTAGGTTTTCTGATGCCCTCCATGGGTGTACTCAAGTAGTACACCAACATAACATACACACTCAAGTAGTACACTGACATACACTGGTGATAAATACCCTCACACAAGCAAACAAGAAAAAAAAAAAAAAAGCTAACCCCTCACTAGACCATGCTGAGAAGCCAATCTGGACAGAGACCTTCAGCAGAGTGAAAATAGAGGGAAACAGATGGCCTTGGTGCTCCAGGGTGAGGGACCATGGGATAGGGTGCCATCAGCTATATATAAGGGGTTTCCAGGAGCCACACCCTTCCTGGACCCGATGGCTTGAGCTTGAGGCTTCCTTCATCTGAGTGTTAGGGGTCGTATCAGAGAGATAAGCACAGTGCTTACGTTGAATGACTGCCCCCATCCTTGTACCCACAGAAAGAAACCTCTAGAACCCATGAATATGGCCTTTTTGGAAAGGGTCTTTGCATAGGTAATGATGTTAAAGGGTTTCTGGGAGAGATCCTGGATATTGTAAGAAACTTCTTACTGTCATTGTAAGAAACAGAAGAGGGAAAGAGCTCTGGACTAGCAGGAGAAAGGCCCTGGATTTCACCCGCCAAGGTTAGAGTTAGGGCACCGCAAACAGCAAATGACAACCAGAACTGGGAGCAGACTCTGTCACCAAAATGTTGCCTTGCAAGCACAAAGACTTGAGTTCAAGTCCCAGAGAGCCGATGAAATGGCACGCACTTACAACCCCAGTGCTGCGGAGGCAGAGACGGGGGCTCTGGGCTCACTGTCCGGCCAGCCCAGCCTACTTGGTGAGTCCCAGACCAGGACTGAAAACAAAGAATAAAGATGGACGGCACCTGAGGAGTGACACAGGAGACTGTCCTCCGGCCTCCACGCACACACACATTTCATACACAAGTACGTGTACTCACACACACCAAAAACCAAGAAACAGAAAAGCTGGCCTTGGTGACACACATTTGCGGTCCCTAAACTTGGGAGCCTGAAACAAGGGATCATGAATTTAAGACCAGTTCTGCTACAAGGAGCTCCATGTTTATATTACATAGTAAGATCTCATCTCAAAACTAGAACCAAAACACAAAAAACACCAAAAAGGAAAAATATGCCCTGTCCATGTACACAAGCCCACATTCACACAGGGTCTCTTCATGTCTCCCTGGATAGCCTGGAACCCACTATGGAGACTGGCCCCGAATTCACAGAAATAGACTGCCTCTACTTCCTGTGTGCTGGGATTAAGGGTGTGTGCCATCATAACTGGAAAAAAAAAAAAAAGACCCAATAACATGTCATATAAATAAGCAGTCCGGAAGTAATGTGAAGTAGGAGAAGGTAGCAGAGAGTGGGCTATTGGGGGAGGGGAAACTTTCAACTGAAGGGAAGACAGGTTTTTTAATTGTTTTGGTTTTTTTTTTTTTTTTTTTTTTTTGGTTTTTCGAGACAGGGTTTCTCTGTGTAGCTTTGCGCCTTTCCTGGAACTCACTTGGTAGCCCAGGCTGGCCTCGAACTCACAGAGATCCGCCTGGCTCTGCCTCCCAAGTGCTGGGATTAAAGGCGTGCGCCACCACCGCCCGGCTTTGTTTTGGTTTTTACTCAAGTATGGGGAAGGACAGGGGATGTTTGTGAAATAATACACATGAGAAAGTTACAAATCACCAAACTTATTAAATCGGTTCAGAGCACAGTGAGTCCTTTACCTGGGGTGTTTGGAGTTATGGTAGAAAACACAAGAACCTGTGCTGAACTTGTGACTTGCTCAGTTAGTAAAGTGTTTGCCATGTAAGCAGGAGGTTCTGAGTTCAAATCCTTGGTGTCCATGTGAAAAGTGAGGCACAGTGGCTTCTTTCCACGTGTGCAATCCCAGCCCCAGAGGCAGAGACAACAGGATCACTGGAGTCGATGGCCACAGCAGAATCTGAGCTGCAGACCCTGTCCCAAAAGATGAGGTGGAGCTGGGCGTCGGGATTGTTCTTAATCCCAGCACTCCAGAGACAGAGGCAGGTGGATCTCAGTGAGTTTGAGGCCAGTCTGGGCTACATAGTGAGACCCTGTCTCAATAAAGCAAAGCTAACAACACAAGAAAGCAGAGAATCATTGAGGAAGGGACTTGATATGCACCTCTACCTCCACATGCATGAACGCATGTGCACCTAAACACGCGCGCGCACACACACACACACACACACACACACACACACACACAGTGAAGAAACAAGGAATAAACTGAAAAGAAATTAGGAAATTACAAGGCTACTTCTGTGGACAGTAAGGAGATAGCCAGCCTGAGACAAACCTCAGTTTCCTGGATGCTAGGTCAGGTGCTTGGCTACACCAGGAGAGAGATTCAAACATCAAATAGTGATACAGAAGAAAGCAGACAGTGGTTGTGAGCAGTGGAGCGGAGCTAAGGAAGCCTGGCTACCCTAACCCTGACCTCTGTAACGCACAGTGAGGTCCAGGAGTCCTGTGGAAGGGGCCTAGGGTACTCTTGCTCTGGGCATCAGCTTTTATCCATTTGGAAGAGTCTCTATGAAGCAAAAAGGCTGGAGGTGGACAATGGCAAGAGGTTCAGGAAAGATGTAACAGGAGGGGTCTGAGTCACAGGACAGCCAAAGAAAGTAAAGAAGAGTTTCTAAACCTGTGGGCAGATACTTCCGCCTTCTCATGAAAGGCTCTGGAGATGGGGAAGGAAGACCCAGGTCTAAGCAGAAGAGAAACCAGATTAAGAAAGAACTTGTGGTTCATTTACAGAAACCTTGAATTTGAGGTAAGTTATACATGCATGTGCGCGCACACACACACACACACACACTCACGCGTGCGCGCACACACGCACGCACGCACGCACGCACGCACGCACGCACACACGCACAAGCGTGCGCCCAGAATGAACAGGCAGTGGGAGATGACTGGATGTTCCAGAGGCCAGGGCTAGAGACAGACTTGGAGATATAGGACCTAATAAAGCTGCTAATTTGGAGATGCAGTGAGTGTGTGCTGGACACCACAGTAGGCTATATGGGGGGCAGATTCAGGCTAACCATTTGTCCTTTTTTTTCCTGAGAGAGGGTTTCTCTGTGTAGTTTTTGGGGCCTGTCCTGGATCTCACTCTGTAGACCAGGCAGGCCTCGAACTCACAGAGATCCGCCTGCCTCTGCCTGCCAAGTGCTGGGATTAAAGGCGTGCTCTACTACCACCCAGCCCGTTTGCCCTGTTTTTAAATGAATAAAGGGAGTGGGGAATCATCTTTGTGAGACGTGGAAATTATATAGAATAAAATCTGTGTGGGGGGCAGGAGGTCTAGTTCAGCGGTAGAGCGCTCATCTAGCATGCACAAGGCCCCGGGCTTGCTCCCCAGCAGAGTGGGGGTGGGATATGTTCTGTAAGTTGGGACAAATCTTTGCCCCCATGCTTATATATTGCCTATGGCTGCTTTCCACGGCCCTATTAGTGGTCACCACACCTACTATGTGGCGTATGGCAGAGAAACCTAAAGTACTGAACACTTAGGCCACCTACCTTCATAACCACCCTGCCATGCCTGCATTTTCACTCTTATTGATGAGGAAATTGTCACCTGAGGGACATGGCTCACTTTTTATCCAGCATAGCTGTTGGGAGGTGAACTCTAGCCCCGTGACTCAGTTCTAAACGTTAGAAGTGGGATCTGAACCCAGCTCTGCATGCCTCCATTGCTCTATCTAAAATGCCACTTTTGAGTCATCAAGACAGCTCAAGCAGGGGAAGGTATCTGCCACCAAGCCTGACCTGAGTTTGATCCCCAGGACCCACACAGTGGAAAGAGAGAACAGATTCCTGTGCATACCCTCTGACAACCTGCCCCCTCCCCGAGAGTAGAAAACACCCCCTGACTAATAAACAGAAATAAATATCAAACAAACAAACAAAAAACCCCAAAACAAAACCCAGGGCTCCTTACAGTAAAGGCATATGTTTTCATTAGAGTGAGGGAGAGAACCTAGCAAAAGTTAGTACTTTTCTCTCTCTTTGATTTAGACAGGGTCACCTGGCTGGCCTGAAACTTACGTATAGCCCAGCCACAGCCTCCCCACTGCAGAGATTACAGGTCCGAGGTATCATGTCAGGCTGAGAGAAAGTATTTAAATTTATTTCCTTCCTCCTAAACCATACTGCCTTAGGATTTATTATTATTATCTTACATTTATTTGTTTGTTTAGAATGTGTATGTGTGGGCACGGGCATGCCAAGGCACGTGTATGAGGGTCAGAGGACAGCCTATGGGGGCCAATTCCCTCCCTCTACTGAGTGGGCCCTGGCAATCAAACTCAAGTTGCCAGGCTTGGGGCAAGCACCTTCACTCACTGGGCCATCTTGCCAGCCTGGTTTTATTATTACAGCCGAGCGGTGGTGGCGCCCGCCTTTAATTCCAGTACTTGGGAGGCAGAGGCAGGTGGATCTCTGTGAGTCTGAGGCTGGCCTGGTTTTATTATTATTATTATTTTTTTTTTTTTTTTTTTTTGGTTTTTCGAGACAGGGTTTCTCTGTGTAGCTTTGTGCCTTTCCTGGAACTCACTTGGTAGTCCAGGCTGGCCTCGAACTCACAGAGATCCGCCTGGCTCTGCCTCCCGAGTGCTGGGATTAAAGGCGTGCGCCGCCACCACCGCCCGGCGGTTTTATTATTGTTAAAACAGCATCACAGTATTCAATGAAAAGATGTGCTGATGTACACCAAAGTTGTTTCCAATTTTTTATTGTTCTAAAAAATGTTAGCTGGTAAGCTTTTGCACACAGGTACAAGTAGAACTGTGTCAAGGGTGGTACTCCAGAGGGTTGTGTAGAGTACAAGAGTGCTCAAAGAGCAAAGCAGTAAGACAGCTGTAGGGCTGAGTCACAGGGATGAGAGGACTTGAGGACAGGGTAATGAATGGGAGGGACAAGGCTTTACAGAGACACATGATAGACCGTACTGAGACCCACAATCTGAGAGAACGGGAACTGGGTTCCAGGGACTTAGGGAAAAGAAGGCAGGGTCGGCTGGGCCTAATGTCATAGGTCTGTGAGTGCAACCACTGGAAAGACAGAGGCAGGAGGATGTAAGTTCAAGAACTGCCTGGGCTACAGAGCTAGTTCAGTGCTGCCCTGCTGAGAGCAATCGCAAGGTTTTACCAAAAGGGCCAGGGACGTAGCCTGGTGGTGGGAGCCTTGCTTAACACGCATGAAGCTCGAGGTTAGACTTAGGGTAAAAGAAAAAAAAAAGGCAATTGGAAAGCGGGGACATGAGGGACACAAAAAGGTCGGGGAACAAGAAGGCAAAAGAGGAACCGAAAATGGTTCCCTGGAAACAACCCTAGCCAGGGGCTTGGCTGTTGTTACCAGACCCTGAGTGATAAGCCCAGGCCAGGAGGAACCCTTTCCCACTGTGCAGAACTACCAACTGTAGGAAAGCGAGGAGTAGACAGATAAGCTACACCCATTCACACCCCCACCCAGACGGACAAGCTACACCTATCCACCCCACCTATCCACCGCCCCCTGCAGATGGACAAGCAACACCTATCCACCCCTCACCAGACGGACAAGCTATCCACCACCACCCCAGCCCCACTAAGTGGAAATGGCAGGCAGAATGATGCATCAGACTCTGGGCTGAATGAGGAGCTCCCCGCCACCACACCCCCCCCCCCCCGCACCCCCCCACCCCCGTCACCCCTGCATATCTGCTCTCACTAAGCCCCAAGACCAAGGGGCAAATGCCCTACCCTATCTACCACTCCCTTCTCCCTACCCTTAAGAGAGCAAAGGGCTGGAAGGGCAATAAAACCAGGCCTCAGGACGCATTCAGGAAATGCAGACTCCACCTCCTGAGCCACTGGGGGTGGGGAGGAGGGGGTGGAGGCAGGTACAAGGTGCAAGGGACAAGACAAGTTACTGGACTGGAATCTGGCCTGGCATGGCCACAGCCTGGGGAAAAGGATCAAAGCCACCCATCCTGGGAAGGATTCCTTCAACCAACACAGGAATCAAGGGTTCGGGTGTCCTGACACATCCTCTTTAGTCTACAGCCAGACTTGGCTGAGAGCTGACACACTCAGATTCCTCTACTTTCCAAAGTACTGAGGCACCCAGATGGCCCGGAATGGCCTGAAGTACACACAACCTGAGCCCTGCCCAGCTCCTTCAATGTCCCAGGAAATCCCCATCCTATCCTATCCTATTTCGGGTGGGGTGGGGTGGGGGTTTCCGAAAGAGGAAGGCTGGCCCTGAGACTAAGTGGCCCAGATCCAGAGACTTAGCTTCTGGTCCAGGAGCAGGACTCCCGTCAGCCTGTAGTAGAAAAGGCACGACAACCAATAGGAGTCATCACCACCTACACTAATGCGCTTCCTTGTGGAACAGGCTCCAGCCCTGAACAACTGAGACTCCATGGACCAGCCTAGCCCACAGGTAGCATCCCCTTCTTTCCAGAATCCCCATCTCAGCTCTCCCCAGAGACCAAGGAGAGCCGTTGAACGGTGAGAGAGAAGAGCAGACCCTTGGTCGGCAATAGGTACCAGCTCAGAAGAAAGGCCCCCTGGAGAGGAAGGTCCTGCCGCACTGGCCCTGTCCGGCCCTGTGCCCCACCCCCACCCCCCACTCCTCATGAGTTCTTAGTTGCTGGGTGGTAAGTGCTAGGATTCTACTACAAAGGTGGTCCCATTCGAAGCCCAGCAGGACTTTTGGAGTAGACTCCAGAGGTGAGGTCTAGGCTACCATTTAGGGATGTTATCTTGAGCAAATGTTTGGTTTTTTTGTTTGTTTGTTTGCTTTTTGAGACAGGGAAAATATATATCTGTGTAGCTCTGGATGTCCTGGAACTCACTCTATAGACCAGGTTGGCCGCAGAGTCAGGGATCCACCTGCCTCTGTCTCTGGAGTGCTGGGATTAAAGGTGTGCACCATTTTTGCCAGCTATGGGCAAACAATGTACCACAGGAGGCTTAGTTTCCTACTCTGAAAAGCGGATGCTAGCAGCACTTCTTCCAGAGACTGGAGACACAGATGGGACTTGCACAAGAGTGAACTGTGAAGAGGTAGCAGAAGTTCTAACTTGTGACCCACTTGGCAGAAAGAACAGGCAGAGACAATGACAAGCAGGCTGCTGCAGCCCCTGCTCACAGCTGACTGCCCAGTCCTGAGACAGAAGAAGAGGATTCTTGTTCCCCACTTGGCCTTCATCCTTACAAGTAAACATCGTGAGCAGACAGCTAGGCTACCACATCCTAAGCGAGGACAGCCCTGCTTGGCTCACGTGGACAGGCACACACACACCTGCTGCGGCAGCTGACATCCCTCACCGACCAGATACACATACCAGCAGGTTGACTCACCCAGCAACCCTTCTCACCCCTCATGGACAGCCTCTAGGAGACTGTACCCACAACACTGTTCCTCTCCCTCGGGACAACCTTGCCTGAGTTTGTTCTGTACTGTCTGGGGCCTGGCTGTGTCACTGGTCCACCTGCAAAAGGCCAATCTATTCCCAGGGCGGACGCCAGCTCATCCCTTATCCAGCCACTGGAGGAGACCATGGGCAGGCTCTTTTATCGAGGCCTCAAAGTGCTTAGGGCAATGCTTGCCCAGGGTGCCTTTCTAGTCACTGGGCCTCATCAACATTCCCTGACTCAGCCTATCATGGACAGAGGTAGGGAACCCTAGAGAGTCACCTCATTTCTCCCGTTGGTACAGCCCAGGCCAGGCCTTCAGCCCATCTATAATCAACTCTGAACATCCTGAGTTCAGGAGCCAGAACCTGGGCCCTGAGATGCGGCCCCTCTCCACTCACCCCTCCCCTTTGTTTACTAAATACTGCCTACTTCAAAGGCAGTTGATGAAGGACTCTCCTCTTTCATCTCCTTTTGTTGCTCTCTTAGCCAAGACTCCATAACCTGCCCATCCATCCCTTCAGGCCGGCAACCTTCCTCACCTCCAAAGCCTCGGGTCCGCAGCTCGCGGTAGGAGTGGTACAGTTCCTGGGTAAGATAGTTGATGAAGCCGTCTTTCGGAGCGAACTTGCACACGAAGTTCTGCTCGTACAGGCAGTTCATGAGGAAGCAGGCAGAGATGGCGTCCTCGCCGCCGTCTGGCTGCAGCTCCACCAGCGCCAGATTGCAGTTCTGGGTGGTGCAGCAGGCACGCACGCAGTCCCAGCTGCGGCGCACCGTCGGGGAGCCCAGGAAGGTGGCCCCGTTGCTGACCGAAGCTTCGGTGTCCAGCACGAAAGCCGGCACCCCGCTGGTAAAGCGGGTCAAGCAGGCGGCTCCCCCGGGGAGCTCTGGGGGTGCGGACGGCAGCGCGGTCTCAGTGCCCTGGAGACCAAGCGCGCAAAGGAGCCACACGCCGACCGTAGAGACCGTAGAGATGCGGCGGCCCGCCATCGTGCTCCCAGGGGCCGTCGCCCTCCTCCCCAGGGCGGGGGTCACCTTCACAGTGCGGACCTCCGGGTTCCGAGGGTGCTTGTGACCTGAGAGGGGAGGAGACAGAGGAGACACACCTGATCAGCTCGGGTAGGGGCGCGGAGCCCTGGGAGCGAGGGGGCGCACGCTGGCCGATCGGCCCACGCACACTCCGAGGACCGGACCGCCGACGTCCGGCAGAGCAGTGCTCCGGAGCTCGCGTACCCGGACACGGAACGGACGGCCACCAAACATGCTCCGGGCCCGCTGGGCCTCCGCCTACTGTCCGCCCGGGCTACCTGCGCAGGTGAATGGGGTGGGGCTGCCGAAGATCCCGCCCGGCTTCCGCCCCACTCAGGGTGCGAGGAAGATCTGCAGCCTCCTCCCCCTCTAGTTTCTGGTGAAACTGAGTCAGAGCGGCCGGGGCGGGACGGACATTAACCCCTTGCGCCGCCGGCCCCGCCCACGCCGGTTGCACCCCCTCCCGCCCTGCCCAGCAGAACTTCCGGCTGGACCCGCCCGGCGGCTCCACCACCCCAGACCCAACCGCAGCGCCCTTGGTGTCCGGACGCCCGGTGGCGTGGGTGAGGCGCGCATGCCCTGGAGGCGGCTCTACACTGGCTCCACGAAGTCCAGCCGCCCGTAGGGTCCCAGAGCATCAGAAGAGCATCATCCCAAAAGCCCAAACTGGGCCGGGACGCCACTGCAAGGTGGCGAGGGTGTGGCTGCCTCCGGCCTTTCTTTCCGGTTAGAGCTCGCATTCCCTGCCCATGGCTGGAGGCGTTTGGGAAGGGGTTGGAGGAGAAATGTTGGGGAAAACTTATGCAAACGATTTCTCTGCCTGTGGCCTGCCCTCAGGACATCATTTCCAGTTTCCCACTAGGAAGAGAACCCTGAAGCTGGGTAGGCTGCGTTTGTGAAAACCAGCCTCAGAGCCGCGTGCTGCTATGGTGCAGCTCTGGACAGTCCTCCTTTCTGTCTAGTTGACCGACAGGTGATTCCTGGCTTCCCTGTTCACCCACAGGAATTCATTCCCTTTTGTTTGGGCCTCTCCCTCGTTTTGTGTTAACATTTCCTTTTGAACTCTTCACCTTTTATTGGTAAGTGGCCCCCTTTCCTGAATCTCAGGGAACCCCCAATGAGTACTTGACCACTCTCTTCCCCATAAATTCCCTGCTTGGACACGTGGAGGCTCCAGCTCACTGAAGGGCTGAGTTAATGCCTCTCACACCTTGATGTCATAAGTGAAAAACACTCAGGCCATTCTCTACATTGCAGAATTCATTAGTCTTCTTTCCTTTCAAATTAATATATTCCTGAGGCAGGGTCTTGATATGCATCCCTGGTTTCGGCCTTGAAGTCACGTTCTTCTGCCTCACTTCCTAGTGTTGGGATTACAAAGAGGAACCACTGCACCTAGCAGGATTTGTCCTGTTTATACTCCTCCCCCCTCCGCCCCACAAAAAAAAAAAAAAAAAAAGAAAGAAAGAAAAGAAAGAAAAAAAAAAAAGGAGGGCCAGAGAGGTAGCTCAGCAATTGAGAGCACTTGCTACTCTTGCAGAGGACTGGAGTTCAATTCCCCAGGCCCTGCAACTCCAGCTCCAGGGGGTCTAAAGCCCTCTTCTGGGTTCCTCAAGCACCTGTGCACTTGTGGTATTTACTCACACTGACACACACATACCCACAAAAAACATGTGTATGAGCGCCTGTATGTGTGTGTACCAGGTGTGTGCCTGGTGCCTGTTGAGACCAGAAGAGGATATTGGATCCACCTGGGACTGGAGTAAAAAGACAGTTGTGAACTTCCATATGGGTGCTGAGAACCGAACCAAATCACTTCGTTGTTCTTTTGTTTTCTGAGACAGGGCTTCTCTGTGTAGCCCTGACTGCCCTGGAACTCACTATGTAGACCAGGCTGGCCTCAAACCCAGAAATCTGCCTGCCTCTGCTTCCCAAGTGCTGGGATTAAAGGCGTGCACCACCATTGCCCGGCTCAAGATTCTCCTTTTCATGCTGGTGTAACCCTCCACCCCCCACACCGTGGAAAAACTTTCCCCCATTGCTCACCCAAAGTAGTTTCACATGGACGATCGTGGAGCCGAGAATCATTTTTCCTTTATCAGTTGCAAATCTTCCAGCTGCTCATGTTACAGGTACTGGAAGCAGAAGTAGTGGATGTCAACCCCTCTCTGGATAGTTTGGGGTTCCACAGCCCCTGGCATAGTGATGCCCGTAATGGTATGCTGGGGAAGAAACATGATTGTGCAGTTGCTGGGAAGGAAGGGTTTTGTCACGGTTTGATTCCTACCTTCCCTAATAGCTTATACATAAGAGAATATACTACCACCGGAGACATCACCTTATGCTAATACTACATTGCCAGAAGTTTATGATTACATTCATTATGTACACGATATTAGAAATACCTATATTTAAAGCTGGGTGTGGTGGTACATGCTTATAATCCTAACATCGGGTAGGAGGAGGCAGGAAAGATCAGAAGTTCAAGGCCAGTCTTGATTAAAAATCAAGTTTGAGGCCAGCCTGGGCTATATGAGACCCTATTTCAGAGAAGATGAAACAAGTCGAAAGGAAATGAGACCCTTGTGTTTGGGCTGGAGATGTTAACTCTCAGTGGTAGAGGATGTGCTTTATGTGCACAAAATCTGGAGTTCGGTTCTTCGACACTGCAGAGACAAAGTAAACGCATTTATCAGGCACTGAAAACGTCCAAACCTTGTTCCTGAGCCTGCCCACAAATTACCCGGTGTAATCCGACCGAACCAAGGAAGTAGGTTCTGTTTTATTTCCATTGTACTGTTGAACAAACAGACTCAGACAGGTGAGCTAACATGTTGGGTCATACAGCAGCTAAGTGGCAGAGTGGGGCCTGGCTCGAGGCAGGCTAACTCCATTGCTTCCCTAGCTAAACCCTGGGCTTTATTGCGCTTGCAAACCTGACTTCATCTGCAAGTTCCACTCTTACTTCAGATTCACCTGGCCTGAGATAAAATCATTTTCCAGTGATGAGCAGCCGATGTTTTTGTGATGCCTTCTGTACGGTTTGGTCCCCTGGGAAGGTCGTGTTGAAATCTGCTGTTGCGGTGGTGTCCAGAGGTGGAGCCTTTGAGTGGTGATTAGATCATTAAACAGGAGCTGGGTTCTTTCTTGAAGGACTGAATGAGTTACCATGAGAACAGGTTATAGAGTGAGCTGCTCCGTGCATGTTTCCTCTTCTGAACACACCCATCTGCTCGTCTACTTTTCCATCTTTGTTAGGACCCTGTGACAGGCTCCTGCCAGGGGGAGGTGTCAGATGTTTGACTGAGTCTCTGGAAGCATGTGCTAAGTAAACGTTTTTGTTGTTTTGGTTGTGGGCTTGAATTGGATGTCAGGAATCATGGGCCACCACTCTTCCACCTGGGGTTTCTTACCTTGCTAGCCAGCTTACTCTGGGGGTCCCCTCTGTCTCTTTATGAGTCGGGAATTCTAGGGAAGGTGCCATGCCCACCAGGCACTTAGGTGGATTTCTGGGGATCCAAACCCTGGTTCTCACACTTGCATAGCAGGTGTTTTAACTGCTGAGCCATCTCTTCATCTCTTGACCTTAGTTTTTCTTTTTGTTTTGGTTTTTCGAGACAGGGTTTCTCTGTGTAGCTTTGCGCCTTTCCTGGAACTCTCTCTGTAGTCCAGGCCGGCATCGAACTCACAGAAATCCGCCTGTCTCTGCCTCCCGAGTGCTGGGTTTAAAGGCATGCGCTACCACTGCCCAGCTATTTTTTTTGAGATAGTGTCTGTCACTGAACCTGGAGCTCACAGATTCGACTGACTAACCAGCCCCAGGAATCCTCCTGTCTCCGTCTCCAAGTGCTAGAATTACAGGCCTGTGCCACCTGCATGACTCCTCTTCCTAGCTTTAAAAGTATTTCCTGGTTTCCCTTTAAAGAGCATGGATGTCCCTACTAAAGACAGGAGCACAGAATGCTGTCCCTCCATTGAGCCCAAAGTCACTCCCCTGTTTACATTCTCTCCTGGTCTCTCAGTTCTAGTCTCTTTGCTAGATCTCTGGCCCCTGTTGCCCTCAGCTGCATGGCTCCAGGGGTTTATCCAGCTGGAAAATGTCAATAATACCTGAAACAGAAGACTAGCATAAATACAAAGTAAAACTGACTTTTTGTTGTTGTTTGAAACAGAGTCTCACGTAGCTGAGGATAGCCTTGACCTAACCCACCGGCTCACACTTCTCAAGGTCTGGGATTACAATCTTAAAACATTGTATCCAGCTCACTTGCAAAAAAATATTTCTTAGTTGAGCTAGCCACGGTGGCAATTGGCTTTATTTAATTTCAGCACTGGGGAAGCAGAGGCAGGTGCCTCCCGAGTGCTGAGATTAAAGGCATGTACCACCACCGCTGCCCGGCGCTTAAGGTTTTCTTAATGAGCAAGGTGTAGTTATGCACATCAGCAATCCTAGCTCTCTGCTATAGTGATTTTGAAACATGTCTTAAAATTTTTTTTCTTTTAATGATCCAACTAAAAGTCTATTAATTCTCTTGGTTAGTGTAGAAACAAGTTGTGTGTGTGTGTGTGTGTGTGTGTGTGTGTGTGTGTGTGAACATATGGAGCAGGTACACTTTCACACGCGTAGAGACAAGAGGACAACCTCAGTTGTTTCCCAGACATTGTCCATTTTTATTTTGAGACTTTTATTTTGATCTCGCATGGCCTGGAATTCACTAAGTAGGCAAGACTAGCTTGTAGACGGAGAATTTTTCTTTGGGCCACCAGCTCACAAATAACAACATGGAGACTTAAACAGCTTGGCCTTAGCTTAGGCTTGTCCCACTAGCTCTCCTAACTTAAATTAACCCATTTGTTTTCATCTACGTTTTGTCGAATGGATCCTTTTCTCATCTCTCCGTCCTGCCTGTGCTCCTTCCTCTGCCTCTGACTGGCGTCTTCTTCTTCTTCTTCCCAGAGTTCTCTCTCTTTCTCTGCCCAGAAGTCCCACCTAAACCGCCTACATTTTCACAGTGTGCAAATATCTCACAACAGGTGTCCGTCGTGACGCATCAGATGGAGCCCAGGAGAGCCAGCCTGCCCTGGAAGAAACCCCCTCCCTGCCCAGTACTGGGGACTGAACCCAGGGTGCTTCACACATGTTAGACAAACACCACTGAGTTACATTCTCAGCCCCAGGCTGTTCTCACATGCCTCTCCTTCTCCATACAAAAACGTTATTATAAATAAATATGTTACCTGGGCGATGGTGGCACACGCCTGTAATTCCAGCATTCAGGAGGCAGAGACAGGTGGATCTCTGAGTTCAAGGCCAGTGTGGTCTATAGAGTGAGTGCCAGGGCTACATAGAGAAACCCTATTTTGAAAAACCAAAATATTAAAAATTAAATAAATACCCGGCGGGCCGTGCGCAGTGCCTGAGTGCTCAGTGATCTTTCCCTGTCTAGTGGATTCTGTTGTGGCCTGTGGCC